CCATTTTTTACTAGGGTTGTTTTGTTTTTTGTTTTTTGTTTTTTTCCTTTCTGCACATTTGAGATCCTGGATGTTAGGCCTTTGTCAGATATACAGTTGGCAAATACTTTTTCCCATTCCATGGGCTATCTCCCCACTCTCTTGATGGTTTCTTTTGCTTTGCAGAAGTTTTTCAGTTTAATGAGGTACCACTTGTCAATCTTATCTTTTATGGCATTCGCTTTTGGAGAGTTGGTTGCCTATTCCAATTTCTGTAAGGGTGTTTCCTACATTTCCTAGGATTCTTATGGTTTGCAGTTTTACATTCAAGTCTTTGATCCATTTAGAGTTGATTTTTGTATATGGTGATAGGTAGGGACCTTGTTTCAGTCTTTTGCATGTAGTCAGTCAGTTTTCCCAGTACCATTTACTAAATAGGTTCTCCTCTTCCCATTGGTTGTTGGTGGAGGCTTTGTCGAAGATGAGTTGGTTGAGGAATTAAGGTTTTGCTTCTGGAATCTCTATCCTGTTCCATTTTTCTATATGCCTGTTCTTGTACCAATACCAGGCTGTATACATACATGTATGTATATATACTTTTTTTTTTTTGAGTTGGATTCTCACTCTGTCACCCAGGCTGGAGTGCAGAGGCACACTGTTCGCGGCCACCAAAGCCTCGACCTGCTGGGCTCAGAAGATTCTTCCATCTCAGTCTTCCAAGTAGCTGGCTACAGGCATGTGCCACCATGCCTCTCTAATTTTTTGATTTATTGTAGAGACAAGGCCTCACCAAGTTGCCCAGGTGGTCTTGAACCTCTAGACTCAGGCAATCTTTCTGCCTCCACATCCCAAAGTGCTAGGATTATAGGCATGAGCCACTGCACCTTGCAAGATATTTTTTTTTTAAGCGGGTACAATGTACACAAGTGGAGGTGGTGGATACACTCAAGGTCCAGACCAAAACTATTTGTACCCACAAAGCTATTGAAATAAAAATAGGCCCAAAGTTTGGCTTTGTGTCTAAGCCTAGAGAACTTGCCACATCTTACATTCTCCCTCTCTCCACGATCTTATTAGCTCTGAAGAGAATTCCCTGCTGGGACCAGCACTAGCACCTCAACTCTTCTAAAAACCAAAGAAATCTATTTTAGTCCATTCTAGTGTCATATTCCCAGAGACCTAGAGAAGCAAAGCACATTCACTAATATGACTAAAGAGAAAACCAGCAGGAAAGCAGCCCAGTGGGAGAAAGCAATACTTGCAACAATTAAATCTCTCTCTGAAGGCATAAGGTTAGTATTCTCCATCTCTTGTTCATTCATTTGGCTATTTATTGAGTAGTTAACATGTGCCAAGTTATGAAAAGTCCTGAGAACACACAGATGAATGGGGAATGAGCATGACATTAAGAGATTGCTAGGGTAGTCAAGGAGACAGAGAAGTAAATTGAAAAGTGAAAGTACAAAAAAAGCACTTCTGTGTCCAAGGTCAGTATGAACAAAGTGCTGGAGGACCTCAGAGGATGAAGTACCTGAGCAGCCCAGAAAAACCAACCTGGAGGATGTGACATTTCAGGTGGGTCTTAAAGAATAAGATCACACAACAGACAGCTGGGATGGGGGAGGTCTTTGAAGGCAAAGGGAATAGTATGCCTAAGGATCCTACATTTGAACATGTTGAACCCACCAGGTGATTCAATGCAGGCACTCAAATACACCAAACCAAAGATGCTTGGCCTCCAAACACATCTCAACTCTGATCTCAGCCAGCTGAGGGTCCATGTTGGACAGCTACCCCAGTAAACAGGACGTAGAAGGGGTAAATAGGAAGCCAGGGCAGGACATCCCCTGTAAAATTAACTAAACTGAGGCCTCATTTTCAAAGGCCCAGTAGCTGTCGAACTTCAGGAAAGACAAGGGATCCTACTCTAAATATTGGACCTCCAAATATTTTGACATGAACAGAACAGCCTCCGTTAATATAAAATATATGTGTAAATCTATATTTAAAAACTCATTTGTAGCCAGGCATGGTGGCTCATGCCTGTAATCTCAGCACTTTGGTAGGCAGAACCAAGAGGACTGCCTGAGTCCTGGGGTTTGACACCAGTCTGGGCAACTTGGCGAGACCTTGTCTCTATAATAAGTTTAAAAAAATCAGCCAGGCATGGTGGTGCATGCCTGTGGTTCCAGCTACTTGGAAAGCTGAGGTGGAAGGATCGCCTGAGCCCAGCAGGTCAAGGCTGCAATGACCATAAGCATGCCACTGCACTCCAGTCTGGGCAACAGAGTGAGACTCCGACTCAAAAAAATACAAGTAAATAAAAACTCCTTTGTTTAAAGTGGTATCACTATTCTGATTCCTTTTACCAGATATGAAAGAGGATCCACTTGATTCCTCAGCAGGAGGGTGAATTTACACTGAATCAGAGATGGTCTCCTTATGCGGGTCATTGCTTCTAAGTGTCCTTTGCTTTTTTGAGCTCCCTCCACTGTGAGTTTGTCAGCAAGTTTGATATTTATGTTATCCAGGAGACCTGGGTCCCAGGGAAAATGAGCTTCCCAAGCTCACATAAAACAGACTCGTAACAAGAGTCCATGGTTTTCAGTGTAAAATAGTTCAGTTGCTAGGAAAGCAGAAAGCTTCTGAGAAATTATGAGGCAGTCAGTGACCACTAGAGAGAAGACCACCTGGACAAGGACCCCTTCTTCCCCAGCCCATGACAGCAACACAGCCCCCTAAATTTCTCAGTGAGTAGTACTTGTTCAGTATTTCACTTTGCCCTCTGCTGGGAAACAGCACGGACAGCTGAAAGGGCCTAGGCCCTTCGGTCCATGTAAACGTCTGATTCCCAATTCCGGCATTACTGGCTCTGGGCCGTGGACAATCCATTTCATCTTGCCAAGCCTCCACTTCCTCGTCTGCAAAACAGATACACTTTACAAAATTGTCATGAGAATTAAGTAAAATAATGTAGGAAAAATGCTAGCAATCTGCCTCATAGCAGGCAAAATCATTTTTCCTTTTGTTTATGGCAACATTTGTGATTAAGGAACACTGGATTTAAATCCAACAGACCAGCCTCAGTTTAATTCCCAATTCTGTCCCTTAACATCCTTGAGGGGAAAAAAGAGTGAACATGCTTTAGCACCTAGTTTGTTTCAGATACTGCACCATGTAGTTGTTGTTGTTTTTTTTTATGATATAACCTTGAAACAGGTATTATTATCCTTGTTATAAGAAAATAAATCCAGAGAGATTAATTTATCCAGGGCAGATAGCTAGAAGGTCGGACTGGGGTTTTAACTTTCTTTGCTCCAAAAACCATCTATTGGAGATCACTGGGCTGCCTATGGGAGGTGGGGGGTGAGGGTAGAGGGGAGTGAGTTAAATGACCCATCCATTGAGATTCTATTTCCAATTCCCTAAGTTGTTTCCCTGGCTTTACCAGAGGTGATAGTTGGAACACACTGTAGCTACAGCCAATACGGAGTCTTATTTCATTTTGCTAGAATCATCCGGGTTCTAAAGTCAGCAATGATCTAGAAGCTGGGGACAGAGCAGCTTTAGGGCTCTTAGGAGGAACCACTGTTGCCTATACAACCCTGTAACGTAACAACTCTGCTTGACTGTAGTTTATAGCTGGAGATGTTCCTTCCATATGAACCAGCCCAGTTCTACCTAGAGATCTGTCTCTCCAACCTGAGAACTCTGTGGAAACAGGCCCTGACCCTCCCAAGTGCAGAAGAGGCAGGAACACACCCAGAGAAAATAGGCTTTGGGGCTAATCAGACCCGATTCAGGCTACATGATCTTTAGTAAACTTAACATCTGTAGAATGAAGGGTGGTAGCATCTAGATGGAATACATGATCAAGATGGGTGTCAAAGGCTCAACATGAAGCCAGCATACTCAAGAATTAGCGCAAATAACCCTTATGGCAGCTTCACAAGGTTAAGCGCTTAGAGTTCTGAATAATAGGGACTTAACACCTAGGGCATGACAGAGGGACATGTTTATTCCCCAGATGTAAAGTGCTCAAAAGGGGAGAAAAAAACAGGACAGCAGCAAACCCGCAGTCGTATGGTCAGACTTCTTTCCCCCCACTTTCTCCCTCCATCTCTTCTTCACAGACACCTCCTCTAATTTGTGTGGTAATAGTTAAATAAGGTTCAGTCTCATTACCTTATTGACGTACCTCATATACTGTCTGATATTGTGGGACCAGGCCCCAAGGAAAATGAATTTTTCTCTAACTGCTTCTGATCTCAACTATTTCGTTCTTGCTCTCTTTTTCCTTTCTTTGAGTATCTATCTCATGCAAACCAATCAAATAGCTGGAAAACATTTCAGGGCAGGAGGCAGGAAGACGAGGAATTTTGAGTTTAGTATGTCTGCATTAATGTTGTCTTTTTCTAGATTCTATATGCTCTGAAGGGTAGAAAGAGACCAAGACTTTTCATTTCAGTTGGGAGCACTCACAGCTTTATGTATATCCAGATACTTAAAATTATTCACCAGAAATGGACTTGCTTCTTTGCATGTCTGGCATCTTCTCAAAAGTAATAATAATTGAAGTCATTAGTCCTAGGAAAGCAACTGGAACTATGGAGCTTTCTATCCCATCCACAGCCACCTAGAAAGAACAATCTCAAGGCATCCTACATTTAGAGGTAGCAAGGTAAAGAAATTAGGAAGTCTGTTATTATTTTTTAGTTTAGCTTGATGTCCTGAGACACTTTTTCAGGATATCATGAATCCTGATCTTAAGGTAATAAAGCATTCATAAAAAGGTTTGAAGCGGTTAATTACAGAAGTTTCAAGCCCACCCACTAGACCCATGAAAAAGCTTTTTCACTATACTGATGACACACACCAAAGTAAGAAATTTGTTCTCAGGATCCAAGTTCGTGGATTAATATATGGAAATAACATATAAATTTCCATCCTTCTCATTCACCATTTACATTCACACTTTATATCTGTCTAGATACACAGATACCATTAAGGAAACACACAGGTCAAGTCACTCGTGTTTAATGATTCCATGGTTTATATTACTGCCCTCTGAACACATCACTCTGTTCCATTTGTCTGGTCACTGTAGATAATCCAGGTCAACCAGCCTCTCGTTCAAAATATTCAAACAAAGTTTTCTGCACCCCAAATCTAACAAAACAGATCTCTATGATGAAATAACAGAAAGACACAGATTAGTCCAGTTAGTGGCTAATTACTGGTCTTCAGGGTCCTCCAAACCCCTCCATAACCAGCAAGAGTAGACAGGGGCAAGGATAGGAAAGAGAAACTGACACCAAGTTTTCTGAGACTCCTTTCCGGTCTGCCTGAATAAAAAGGTGCCTTTCAGTAAAGAGCAGAATTGATCCACTCATGCCAAAACCCACAGGGCAGAAAGCACCCCAGCCCAGCTTTGGCTAAGCTTCCACCACTTTCCTGTAAGGGCCACAGCAATCTTTTGGTATCTTCTATAGAAAATCTTCCTCCTCTGTCCCTACAAAGGCAGAAACAACTGGGAGCAAATCTCTGCACTAATTCCTTGGATCTATGCAGGATCAGCGCTTACTGTTGGGACCCCTCCCTGTAGGGAGCTAGGATTCGATTTCTTAATGCAAGTTCAACATTAAGAAAAAGATCATAAAGTCATTCACTCACAACTTCAGGCCACCCTTAGGCAGACAGCTTAAGGCAGGGACACGCAAGAAAGGTCTATTTCAGCCCTGTCCAGGTCCAAAGCGGATCACTCAGGAAATCCCTAGGATCAAACTGGCGCTCAGGGTTCTCTCTGGGATAGTCACAAGTGGTGTGTTTGTCTGGACTGCGTGAGTTGTCCCAGGCTGTAACTAGATCCAACTTCTTAGCCCCAGAATAAACTCACAATGCCTTGGCCCTTTGGACTAGTAGACAATCTGCCAATATTTCAAACTCCCTGGTCCCTTTCCAGCCTGGCTTCATGTCCCCAGACAATTGGGGCAACAATGGACCAGACTCAGATGATGAGACAGAGCAAACAGCTGGTCATTGTGCCTGCTCCGAAATTAACCGAACTCCCTTTGGAGTCACATGTCCTCCCAGTTCTGCACTAGGAGCATATACTCAAACAAAAACATCTTATTTTAAAAGATCTCGCCACTTCCCCAAACTTTGTACCTCCCAGTCGCACCGCTCAGTCCCTAGCCTCTCCTCGCTCTTCCCCTCACATACACACCAGGAGATGCTGGCCTGACACTTTCCTTTAAGGATCTCTAGGGCCCAAGTATAAAGCAGCATTAATGGCATTTGGCAGAATAGCCCATCCCACATTGAAGACTGCTCCCAGTTCAACACAGTGAAGAAATAAATGACGACAGAGGGAATAGGCATAGAAACCAGAGCCCACCCCTTCCCACATAAAAGAGGCACAGAATTCCAGGAGTTCGCGGAAATGGCATCATCTCTTGCCAGAAGGCCACCAGCTCCCACTGGTGGGGAGTCGCATGACCACTTGCTTCTCCTCTGGACTGAAGTGTAAGATAGTCAATATGGCTGTGAGCGTCTGCTGGCGACCCAGGGAGTCAGGTAAGGTGAGGAAGCGGTAGATGATGTTTTTGAGGTACTCCAGGTTGGCTCCCTCCCTGCTCTGGTCCCTGATGTTCTTCTCGATGTGGCTCTGCAGGGCTCCGACCTCCTCCCGATGCCGCTCGCCCTCCTCCAGCAGCCGATCCTGTAGCTGATGCACTTCCATCTCCAGCCTGTGCTTCTGCTTTCGCAGAGAGGTGATCTCCACCTCCTTGCGGGCCAACTGCTCGGCGTACAAGAAGAAAGTGGGCTCACTGGCTGCAGTCAGGTGGAGTGCTTGCGTCAGGCTATCTGATGAGGATGTGTCAACTGGGTCCCCAGGAGCCCCGCCGCCCACTGGGCTTCTGCGTCCAGGCAGCCCAGAGGCCAAGGCCACAGAGCGCAGCTGCTCAAGCTCCAAGTCCTTTTCGGTGAGCACGGCCAGGGCACGGTCCCGCTGCTTGTGCAGCTCCTCCTCCAGTTTCAGCGTGCGGTCCCTGAAGTCCAGCTGGCTCCGTTCCAGCTCTTGCCGGTGGAGCTGCTGCAGCCGGGCCAGCTCCTGCTTCCAGTCATGGGCCTCCTGCTGGTGCTGGCGCTCAAGCTCCTCGCAGGACAGACGCAGAGAGATATACTTCTCCTTCAGCTCTGCAAGCTGCTCCTGGGCTGCCTCCAGCTCCTTCGCCAGGTTACCATCTTTGCTATTCTTGCTCTTGAGGACAACCTGGGCCCTCATCTTGTACCTCTCAAACTCTTCCTTCAGCTGTTTCAGCTCCTGTTGGTAGTAGAGTACAGTAGCCTTCTCCCCATCTGCAGCCTCCGAGCTGGGCATGATCTCCAGATCACAGAGCTTCTCCACGTCCAGGGTCACCTGGCTTTTCCTGGCGGCAACCTGCAACAGCCTCTTTAGCTTCTCCATCTTATCCTTCAGGACATTGACATCCAGACTGGACTCATCAGCATGGCTGTCCAGAGGCGACCGGCTGGAGGCTGCTAGAGCCAGGGTCTTGTTCTCCAGGTCCAGTTGCAGAATGCGCTCCTTCAGCTTCTGGATGGTCAGTTGATCCTTCTGCTTGGCTTTCTCATAGGTGCCCAGCAGCTCAGACACCTCAGATATTTGATTCTCTAGAGCAGCCACCCTCTGCTCTTCTACCTGCGATTGCTGACGGAGTTGATCCTCTGCAAGGGCTGTCTGCAAAACAAGGAACAGAACAAAATGCATCCGGAAAACCCCTACAGCAAACTAAGAAAGCAAGAAAGGGGAGCAAAAGGGTTACAGGAATAGAATGGCCTAGCAGAAACGGGAACAGGGAGATTTCTGTTGATTCGGAAACTAACAAAAGTTCCTGTAACCGGCTTAGTTCCCGTAACCTGCTCCAAGACACATGTTATCCCAAACAATATCAAGCAGCTTGGCATATCTGCTGCTGTTCTGCCTGGGTGCTTCCCCTTCCCACCTGACTCAAGTATGACCTGCATGACTGTTGTTTGTCATGTGCTTCCCCAATCCCACTAAGAAATCATGCAACATTCTTTTCCTCATCCAACTGGGATGTTCAAAACTGAGTTGAATCTGTCTCTCCATATTTTGAAAGGAGGCACCTTGAAATAGCACTCTTCCATAACTGGCACATCTTGACTGAAAGCAACTGCAAGAGGTTATTTCTTCTGAGAAAATCCCGCTTGCCTTCAACCACCCTACCTACAGGCATATACTTGTAGGCACACATACTACCTCCTCTCACTGTACAGCTGCCACTATATTGCTTCTTAGAGCACAGCTGGTAAGATGCCAATGCCCAGAATCTCAGAGCTGTGTGGCTCCAATCCAGCCTACACTCAGAAATTCCACATCTGCTGGATTTCCCAGGATTTACTAGTAGAACTTTTCAGACAGTATCAAAAATGATAGCATAGTCACTTAGTTCTAACTGCCAAAGGGGGGAAAACCCTAATATTTCCCACTGCCAAATGACTAACGTTTGAAGGAGATGAGGATAATTACCTTCCTCATTTCCTGCTGCAATTGAATCTGGAAATGGCTCTTCAGGCGGGTAGCCTCTTCCTGAAGTTCTTGCAGGAGGGGGTCTGGCTGATTCTTCTCATCTCGAATAGCCCGCAGCTCACCTTTCAGCATCTCCACCTCCCGGTTCAGCTGCTTGGTCTGCAGTTCAAACCCTTCCATCTGTTCAGCTGCATATGCTCGTCCTGCCAGGGCTTCTCGGGTCTCTTCTAAGCGAAGCTCCAAGTCCTGGCGCTGGGTCCTCTCCTCCTGCAGCAGCTTCTGGAGCTCACGCAGCATCAAGGCATGGTCACTCTGCTCTTGGGCCCGATCATGCTGTTGTGTGATAAGTCGGGCTTTGGTTTCTGCTATCTGCTCCTGCAGTCCCTTCATCTCTCCCTCCAGACGGCCCCTCTCCTCATCCGCCTTTTTATTAGCATCCTCTAAGTCCTGCTTCATCTTTCTCTTGTCAGCCAAGTAAGAAGCCTCCATGCGAGACTTCTCCTGGGTGACCGTAGCTAAAGAGCTGGTCAAAGTCGCCAACTGAGTCTTCAGCTGGTGCAGTCTTTTGTCCACCTCCCCACCCGCAAATGGCCCATCGCCACTGCTACTGCTAACGCCACTCTCCGACCCACTGGCCTCTTCGGACTTTGGGGGTGGTGGACCACGGGCCGGTCTATCATCTTCTATCCCAAACTCACCCTTGGTGCTGGTGAGACTGGCCGCAGTGTCCAAACTGGTGGCGGTCCCAGTGCTATCCTCGCTGTGAGTGGAGCACCGGTCATCCACAGGGTCAGGAAAGGTGAGGCCTGGAGGCTGGACGCTGGCGAGGCCGACATCCGCCTCGTGGGATACCGACAGCACCCTGATGCTGGCTTCTAACGCCTCCTTCTCCTTCAGCAGGCTTTTATAGGCGCGGACCACATCCTTGAGCCGTGCCTGGTACTGGAGGAGCTGCTTCTTCTGCGTCTCTATGGTCTCCAGCAGGTCCTTCTTGCTCGGGCCGCCCCCGAAATTCATCCCAAACTTCTCCATGGGGGTTCTGAGCGGACTGCTCCACGTCAGCGTTCCGGGAGCCCGGGAGATGGCCGTGAAGACGTGGACTGGGGCTTCCAGGAACGGGACAGGGCTGTCCGGCCGCGGAGCGCACACCCGCTCCGCCTAGCTGCCCGGGGCCGAATGCGGGCCAGCCGCGAAGCCTGGCAGAAGCGCCAGCCGGGTCCCAGGCCCGGAGGGCGGGAACAGGTCCTATCCCGGAGGCGGGGCTACGCTGGCACGAAAGCTGCGCACGGCCAGGTCTCGCCCGCGCTGGCCCGGAAGCCGCTGCGCACTCTCCGCTCTTCCAGGCCACAGCCGTCCGGGCCGGCAGCCTCGACCCGGCGTCGGCCGAGCGCTTACGCTGAGCGCGACTCCATCACGACTTCTTAACTACCGCGGCCGGCTGACCACGGCGGGCCGAACACTGCGCTTCCGTGTCCACTGGAAGTGACGTCTGCGCGACGCCGCAGGCTCCGCCCCGGCGGGCGCGAGGTGGGCGGGGCCATCCCGGTCGGTGGGCGGAAGGCTGCCTGCGAGGAGCCGGCGGGGCTTGGGAGCAAGGACCCGCCTTGGGAAGAGCCCAGCGAGCAACGTGGGTTGGGTGAGGGCCCCAGCTTGGCCTTGGGGTACGATCAGCGAACGACAGAGGGCGACCTCGCACTGTCTTCTTGCCAAACACGCGGAGGAACGGCGTATCCAACTAATTTGGGGCTCAGGATCTACGTTCCGAAAGGGCAACAATGGATTCTCATTTGGGCCACGAAAACGGAGCCCTTTCTAACTTTGGGTTTGGCGCCTAGTCTGCATATGGTATAATAGTGCCCTTCTTTAGTTCTGCTGAGTCTATTCAACAGGTTTTTGTCAAAGGCACTCTGTAGTCATGAAGTCTATCCTGAGTACGGATTATATATGTCAGGAGCCTCACAAGAATTTTGCTATCAAGTCTTTACAGTAATTCTGTTCGGGAGCTATCATTAGCCCTGTTTTACACATGTGAGACCATGAGGCACAGAGAAGCTAAGTAACACGCCCAAGGTCACACAGCAAGTAAGTTTAGGAATCCTATCCAAGTCAGCTTGCAGATCAGTCACCATGCCAAATGCCCTCAAGGAATTTAGTGAGGAACCAGACTTGCAAACAAGTCCTGCTGTCATACCCATATGTATGGGTATACTCGAGTGGAATGAAAAGTTATTAAAGACTTTGTGGGTCAGAATGGGGCAGGCCTTGGAAGCCTTCGGACCCAGTTTCTTAGTGGCCCAAATAATATCCAGCTGCATTATCCATAACATTCAGTTATATTAGCTCCTCATTGTAACATTCACCATAACCCCTTGAGTTAGAACAAACACATCTCCTTTTATACGAGAAAATAATGGAAGGGTTGGGAGGATGGTTGAAACCAAATCTTCAAGAAATGGTAGAACTAAGATTTGAACTAAGGCTTGAAACTGTGGGCACATGGTGGGCACTCAATAACTAATTGTTGGAAAAGTGAATAAATGAGTGAAGTGTTCTGATTCCCAGCTCAGCACTCATCTAGTCCATGAGCAACTGATCCTAAAATCCCCTGGGAATCCAGAATGGGCATAACGCCTGCCCTTGCCCCACTGGGCAACCTGTCGGTCCAGTTCAATCCAGCAAGCATTTGTTTAGCATATATTAGATGCCTAGCATTGAATGAGGCGTGGCCATCACATATGAAGCTCCGAGTCTAAGGAGGCAAGAGCCTCACAAAATCCTAAAGAGGTGTGCATTAATAATCCAGGCCCGCAAGCCGCGGCAAAATGAGGACTGCCCGTAGACGGAGAGGCGGTGTCCTCAGGGCCATCGGGGCGAAGAGGGGGTCCTCCAGGAGCCCAGGCATGGGCCTGCGATCACGCCACCTGACACTGGGACTCTTCCACTGCTGGGAGGGATCTACGAAGTGGGCGTTTTAAAGAAGCAAGGAGAGCTACCGACACCCATCTTCTTCCCCCACCTAAACACACTCCCCACAAGACCACCTCCTACGCGCAAAGGCCTCAGTGGACGCCAAGGGGGGCAAAAGGGAGGCCAAGCACCCGCAAGCGGCGTCCGCGCCCCTAAGGAGAACCGAGGCCCGGCGGCAGATGAGGGCGGAGGCCGCCGCGGAGCGACGAAGCCTTCCCTCGGCCAGCTCGGGCGGCCGGCTCGGCGGCCACAGCCTGGCGGGCGTGCTGGAAGCGGAAGAGAGCCGCGCGGAGTCCGGCGGGGCTGAGGAAGCTCGCTGGGCTCCAGCGGCTCCCGGAGCCAGAGCCTGGGCGCTCGGCCGGCGGGGGCGGGGCCGGGGGCGGGGCCGGGG